ACGGTCCAGGCCCTCCACTGCTCCACAGTCCATGCCATGATCCAGGTCGTATTTCGCTTCACAGGCCTAGGCCTCCACCCTGCCCCCAAGACCGCCTCCTGTCCTCCACCCTCCTGGACTTTTTTTGTTTGTGTTTTGGGGTGGGTTTTCCATTTGGGGTCGGGAGCCACCAATAGAGGGGGGGATCTGTCATGTCTGTTTTTGGTTTTTAAGTTTTCATGTTTTTTATTTTGTATTTTCTTATCATAGTTCCTGTTTGTCATGTGCTTTCCTTGCTCCTCATGTTATCCCGCTATTGGTTGTCTTGTTCATGTGTCTTGTTCTCATTGGTTAATTTGGTCATGTGGTTCTTAGTTGTTTTGTGATTGGGTCATTGTCTTGATTGTTCACAGGTGTTCTTTGTTTAGTCATTTAGTCTAGTGTAATAATAGCCCTCATGTTGCCTGTAACTACTGTTGGTGAGTTGTGTCCATGTCTATGGTCTTGTATTGCCTAAAATGTCAAAATACCTTTGCTAATTATTTGCATGCATTCACTTTTTTGAGGACCCAGTCTAAAATTTCTGGTTTTAATTCATTTTGAGAGAATATTTGGGGGGTGATTGCAAAAATGTCAATGTGGTGTAACCGTAAAAACGTACCAAATAATTGATCTTGATTTAAAAAGGTGAAATTCTCAATAAAACACCATATCTAGTTTGGCTTAATCTTACATTAGAAAAATTTAATAGTAAATAAAAATAAATGGAACACCATTGTTCTGAATATTATAATTAATTTGGCGGAATTGTGTGCCACCTGTTACACTATTTGACTCCTATTACAAGCCTTTCTGTTAGGGACCAATTTAGTCAAATATCACTAGTTTATGATGCTGATTAAAGATTTAATATAAACTAACCTACTATTTGGAACTATTTTCAAGTGTTCAATGTTATATTCTTTTGAGAAAGTGGTGCTTTATCCACAACTTTATTATTAAAGCTCTATAAGTCTAGGATAAAATAATTATGTTGCACAGCATTAGTGTTTTTGAAATGTTTAGCTTTAATGCATATTTCTATTCCATTCACTTAAAATTTTAAGCGATATTATAATATCATATAATATAATGTAATATATACATACATGATTTAATAATGTAGCAGAATGAAGTGGGTGTCTACATTTGAACAAAAATGTAGTGATAATAGAAATATTAACCAAATATTACAATTTACATCTGTAAAATACAATTCATAAAATTTCTGATATTTTATAATTAATACGACATGACATAGAGCCCCTTTTGCCCCAATAGATGCCACTTTCAAGCAAGGAAAAAGAGGCTTGTCACAGAGCACAAGTGAACACTGATCCTGTAGCAAGGGCCAAATACCTTGCCAAAAGATAAGATAGTTCACACACACACACACACACACACACAAACAAACACAGTGAACGACTGTAAGAATGTCAGGTTAAAGTCAGAGTGATGCAGTGATTTAGGTGTTCACTCACAATTTTTGAAAATATGATCTTACCCTGATTTGTTATTGCCAGATATTTTTTCTTAACTCTTAACTGTAATTACAATATGAGACATAAGTCCACTGTTCATCACTCTGATGATTTCTTGTTATCATATATTGTTTCTAAAATGGTTAGTTCACCCAAAACTGAAAATTCTATCATTAATTACTCACCCATGTGCCTTTCCAAACCCGTAAGACCATCATTCATCTTCGGAACACAAATTAAGATATTTTTTATGAAATCTGAGAGCTTTCTGACCCCACAGAGGGTACATTCTAAAAAAAAAAAAAAACTTAGTTTCTAATAAAACTACATTCTGTGACACAAAAACAGTATTATTTAATTTTAAATTACTATAATTTGTCATACTTGAAACCCTTCTTTAGTAATAAATGACTGTTGTAATGTAATATAAAACATAATAATTGTGATTTGTTTATACATGGAGCTTTATAAAAACAGTTCAGTTTTTTGGGAGTGTTACTAATCTGCCCAGTTATATATTTCCTGCATATTTTATATTTCATTCTCTAATTTCAATCATGTTCTCATTTCTCAAACTCATTGATTTCATTTAATGTATTACCAGCAGGTGGCACATTTTGTTAAAGATTCCACATTGTAACCCAGTGAGGCTTTGTCTTAAATAAGGGAAGCAAAAGTATCATCCTATATTATTTGCAGAGACATCATCCTCAAGTTACACATGCTAAACTTCAACTGAAATTGAGCGTATTGGTATAAGACCTGTTTCTCCTCAAATACTGTACATGCTGATGTAACATGTAATTTGTGTTTGACTGATGGTCAGATGGCCTGTCTTGAGGCAGAAACGCAGCCTGAAACCAAACGCTCTCATCATGACTGACAGTCAGCACAAGGCATGTTTGGTCAGAGGTTTTGGTTTTCATCTAACATAATGTCTGGCACTGAGGCCAAACAGTTTTCCTTTCCTCTGCTCTGTCTGGAGCACATTGTTCCAGTTCAGTCAGCTCTCAAGATGAAATTGGTGGGACAACCTGATGTGAATGAATTGCCTGGGGTTTTAAATGTAGATAAATTGGAAGATTACTTTTTTGACAGTGGAACAACTGACTACTAATTGCTTGGCTGTAAAACCCATCCTAGACTGTAGTTTCAGGGACATCAAATCCTTCTTTTGAGAGTCTCAGGAGGGCTTTTGTATATTGGTGGGATGTAGTGGTAGTTCAAATATATGTGCCTATAAAAACATGAGATACAGTTTTAATAGTACAGCAGAAGTGTTTCTGTTGATTGAGAGGGAGACAGAGAGGGAGAGAGGGAGGGGGAGAGAGCGAGGGAGAGAGGGAGGGAGGGTATGCAGTTCCAGCATGCATTTCCGAGGCCGAAGGTTCGGAGGGCTAAGGCGGAGTAGACGGCTCAAGGGGCCGAGGTGGAAACAGGGATTCGTAAGACCGCGGCGGAGCCGGAGCGACAGGTGACCAAAGTGGAGCTGGAGGGAAGGAGGAGCCCGATGGACCCAGAGGGACAAGGCAAAGCCAGAGGAGTGAAGTCTTGAGGCGGAGGCAGGTCGACAGTTGACCAAGGCAGAGCCTGATGGACGAGGGAGCCTGGCGAAGCTGGTGGGATGATGGGCCACAGTGGAGCTGAGGGAACATTGAGCCAAGGCGGAGTCGATGGGTCGGAGGACTGAGGTGGAGTCTGGGGCTCTGTGGCTGGAAGTGGAGACAGGGGATCCTCACGCCAAGGTGATGCTGGTGATTGGAAGGCCCGAGGTGAATCAGAGTGCCTGGATGGCGCTGAGGGGCTGGCAAGAGCCAGTGGAGGCAGGGCTGAGGAACTGATTGGTTTTTTTGGAGAGGAGGTGGGAGAGGTGGGTTTTGGCTGACTGGGTGCTGGGTTAGGAAGAGGGGTGATGTTTACCGAGTTGTTGTTTACCAGCACCCACTCCAAACATGCGGCGAAATCTTGTTGAGGACCGCTCCCTGGCAGTTTTGCTCGGGACCCAAAGAGCGAGCGGTCTGGGTAGTGTGTCAGGTTCGCCAGTTCGATGAAGTCCCTGGTGTGGATTTTCAGGGAGCAGTCCCTCTGCTCCAGGTACAATAACTGGACTGCAGGAATGTCCATGGTGACAGAGGGAATAAACAAAAGAAAATGCTGCAAAATAAAACACTGTATTTGGAGACATTTCATTCTTACCTTTATAGTCCTAAAAGTCCCTTCAGGAAATTGTTGATCGTACAGTCTGCAATAAAAGGATGCGCAATGCCACAGCCATTACATTACATTACATACAGGTCACAATCAATGACACTGACACCGCAAAAATATGCAAATAAGAACATTAACCCAGGGTTAACGTGGGGAATGTAAAGTGTTAAACGTCATTTAATGAATATCCAGAATTAACTGTTAACCCGGGTAAATTATGAAAAGTGTGAAACGTGACGCAAGATAACCCAGGATTCTGTTTACCCAGGTTCAGAATAACCCAGGGTGAACTATTTCAAATGTAAAATAGTATTGTTTAAAAAAAATTTTAATTTGTCATTTAGGTGTGAAAATGTCTTTAGAGAACAGAATAAAACAAAGCATCACATATAAACGTGATGGAATATGAAATTTAAAGCATTTTTCAAAATATTCTGAAACAACAGTGAAATATTTGTAAAGTTATTAAATCTTTTCTTCAAGTATAATTTAAAAAAATAGGAACACATTAACCGCTTTTAAAAATAGGCCCATTCATTCACTCACAGTAATAAATACAAAACACCTTTATTTTCTTACACTAAACAATGAAAGATATCTAGGATAAAACTGACTCATGGAATCAAGTATTTTGAGTGGGTTTTTTTGTGAGTTCATTTTCTTTTTTTGTTTTCCTTTTTTTTTAGTGCAACATGTTTGTCCCTTTGCGGAAGTCAATTCCGTACATTCTCCATTCAGTGATGTTCTACATTGATTTCTACGGTTCAGTCTCTACAGATCTTGTCATACAGATGGGCCTGCCCCTCCATCAACCTATAAGGCAATACCCGGCACAGTGCTTGCGCTCATTCTCCGTCCTCATTCGCTGGTGAAATCTGCCCCGTGTGACGCACACGCATTCGAGCTGACAAACACAGACACACACAGACTCATGGCACATGCACATAACGGAACATTTTCCTTTCAAGTCAAGAAATTATACGAATGGCTCACACAATGCTGAATTCTCGCGTTGTGTTTTCCTCTTAGTCTTGCACATTTAAAAAAAAAAAAAAAAGATCAACAACTTCCAGGATTGGCCGTTTCTTCTTTGCACGTCTCCTCTGGTAAATTGGCACCTCAGAGTTGTTGGAGTTGTTGTCACTCCTGTTTAGTTTATCCACTTGCGGCAGTTGGCAGCTCCACAGTGACATGGGATCTTGCTCTGATCTGCAACTGGGGTGAGCTTGTAATCGTAGCAGAGCTGCAACAAAAAAGGAAGTTCGAATATCAAATCAGAAGCACTGTACACACACACACACACACACACACACACACACACACACACACACACACACAGACTCATGGCACATGCACATAACGGAACATTTTCCTTTCAAGTCAAGAAATTATACGAATGGCTCACACAATGCTGAATTCTCGCGTTGTGTTTTCCTCTTAGTCTTGCACATTTAAAAAAAAAAAAAAAAAGATCAACAACTTCCAGGATTGGCCGTTTCTTCTTTGCACGTCTCCTCTGGTAAATTGGCACCTCAGAGTTGTTGGAGTTGTTGTCACTCCTGTTTAGTTTATCCACTTGCGGCAGTTGGCAGCTCCACAGTGACATGGGATCTTGCTCTGATCTGCAACTGGGGTGAGCTTGTAATCGTAGCAGAGCTGCAACAAAAAAGGAAGTTCGAATATCAAATCAGAAGCACTGTGGATAGTTCTTATGAGAGCAGACATTACAAAACTCTGCCCTTATTCAGCATTTCATCACATGATTTGCTTTAAAGTGACAATAAACAGCATATAAATGAAATGTTATGCCTAATGTTACCGAGTGAAATGTCGATCCAGGAAGTGGCAAAGGACTGTGAAGCTTTGGGGGTGTTGATGGAAGCGATCAACTGCATCTTTGCTTTGATCATCGAACTGAATATGATCCAGATGTAGTATTTGATAAAAACTTGATTTTCTCAGCTTTTTGCTCAAAATGTTGCTTTTTAAAAAAAAATAAAACTTACCTACATTTAAGTGTTGATAAAACAATAATGCTTGAAGCTAGAATAAAACAGAAACTTTTAACTACTTTTAAACTTTTTGTTTAAAAGTAGAGGCTCTGTTCTTTATTTTGATGTATTGCATGTTCAGATATTCATAAAACAAAATATTCTGGGGGCCATGAAATTTTAGTGAAAATCATCAAAAATGTTGGTGGTGGCTGGCAACTTTTTTCAAAAACGCTGGCGGGGAAAGAGTTAAAGGGCCCTTTTGAGGTGTCTGGATCAGAATGATGCTCAACAGTCACAGAATAGTATGTACAGTAGGAAGGCCGGTACTGACATTTAACAGTGTAATTAAAATATTGTTTTAAAAATCAACTTGATAGCAACTGTATTAATTTCAAAATCATTCTGATGGTACGTGGTCTCTTTCTCAAACATCTGTTCTGGGAGTTTGGAAGTTTGGTGAGCAGGTAGAAAACTGCTTTACAATAGCAAAAAATGCTCAGAAGTTGCAAAAATACACATACAGTTGCTTTAAAAGGGAGATGAATTCAGAAGAACAGTAAAGAAGTGTTTTAGCTGAAACCGTGGTCCTTGGTGATTCATAAAATGCAAGTCAGCAGCTACCGTTACTTTGAGAGAGACAAAAAAGCATATACAGGCAAGACAAAAATAATACCCATTGCCCCTGATGATATATTGAGGTCTTATGAAGCGAAACAATCGGTCTGTGCAAGAAACATTATTTACAACATTATTACCTGCGTAATCCAGAGCCTCTTTAGACCTGTGCTGGCTTGAGCCACGAACTGTTTCAGATGGTTCCGTCCAATTTGTTGATAACAGATTTTATGCCAGATTGCAGAGGTCTGCTGCATCCTTCACAATCTAGCAGAACCGCCCTGCAATACTGTACTGTGCATCGCAACGCTAATTTCTGGGGCATGTTTGCATCATTACTTGATGTGCATATTTCATTTAAGGTGCATAAAAATAAAGGACTTTTAGGGGTGCAGTTAATTTTCAGTGAATTCCCTCTTCCTTACCTCTTCTCCCCTCTCAATCCTGCGGGCGGCACTGATGATGATCTTGTGGCCCCGCTCGAACGTCACAACCTCAGCCACACAGTTCGGCGAGCATGAATGATTGATGTACCTACGGAATAAATTGAACTCAAATTGAACTTAGGGGGTTTTGTCCTAATACACTACCATTCATAAGTTTGGGGGCAGTATGTATTTTTTATTTGCTTCCATAAGTAATGTACACATTTGAAAGCTGATATGAGAAGCCAAGTTCATTTCTTACCTTGCAGGGCTTCCAGACCGGGTTGCATCGATAACTCGCTCGCTGTCGATGCGGAACATGTACGCTGGGCGGTTCTGTGGGAGAAATCCACACAGATTTATACAAATGCATTTCGAAGTCAAGGCAACATTATTCCCTCAGTGGTTGAGCGAGCTTTACCTTAGCCTTGTACAGCAGCTCTTTCCTCATGGCCACCTCAGCGCGCAGAATTTTTAGTTAGTTTAGTGCAGCAAATAAATGAAAATGAAAAATATCTAGCCTTGGCCACTAGCTGAAATAAAATAAATTTCTTATATTTTTTATATATATAAAAAAAAAAAAATGTAGCCTTGGTGAGCATAAGAGACTTCTTTCAAAAACCCCAAACTTCTGAACAGTAGAGTATCTTAAATAGTAATCCTAAAGCAGTTCACAGATGTTCAGCATTGTGCTCAGAATTGTGTAAAATATAGAAAAGATAACAATGTCAGATTTGACATTGCCCATAATGCATTATTAAGTAATGTACACATTTGAAAGCTGATATGAGAAGCTAAGTTCATTTCTTACCTTGCAGGGCTTCCAGACCGGGTTGCATCGATAACTCGCTCGCTGTCGATGCGGAACATGTACGCTGGGCGGTTCTGTGGGAGAAATCCACACAGATTTATACAAATGCATTTCGAAGTCAAGGCAACATTATTCCCTCAGTGGTTGAGCGAGCTTTACCTTAGCCTTGTACAGCAGCTCTTTCCTCATGGCCACCTCAGCGCGCAGAATATCCCCCATGTATTCAATCACCATGGTCTGCTTCTCAATGTCACGCGCTGCAAACAGCCCAAGACCCTGCAGACATGAGACACATTAGACATGCTTCCACACCCAAGGCTAGAGCTCACACACACACACTCATGTTACTCGTGTTGCATAGGCTTACGCTGTTTTATATACAGCTACATATAAATACTATAAGCTAACCCTAACTGAAAACTTTCTGCTTTTTTTTTTTTGCATTTTTTTTCTTGAAAAACGTTATTTTTTATACTGTTTATACAAACGAGGACATCCCCAAAAGGAAGTTTTGCCAGGTTTGCACCCAGGTTCTGGGTACAAAATTGTCCCCAAAATATGAATAATCGGTATACACACACGTTTACTTGGGACATTTCATAGACTTTTTGTATTCTATTGTTTTTGTATATAGCTAGTTCTAAACAATATATCCAAACAATTACAGAAAACTTTCAGCATTTTTAGAAACTTTATTTTTATATAATTTTTTACAAATGATAAAGAGGTTTTGTCAGGTTTAGCTCACTTCTGGATACTAATCTGACCCAAAAATATGATTGTCCCCAAAGACTTGTAATTCTGCCTGAGCATGAAGAAATATGAATCACATGAAAAGCTGTTAAATGGATAGTTCACCCAAAAATGAAAATTACCACATTATTTACTCGCCCTCAATCCATCCTAGGTGTATATGAAGTGAATAGATGCATTTGTGTAAGAAAAATATCCATATTTAAAACTTTATAAACCATCTCTGGGTGGTAAAAAAATAAAAAAATCCATATTTAAAACTTCATGAACCATCTCCGGGTGGTAAAAAAAACAAATTATATATATATATAAATATAGTAGATAAAATTAAGCCTATTTCATGTCATTAAGATTATTTTGCATCGTGACGTTATTTTTATAACTATTATTCACATTTTCTGTCCAATTGTCATTACTGTAATGTGGAAAAAATAAAATTAAAATTGATTTAAAATTTGAATTCATGTATACATCATGGCCATTTATTTTTAAAAATATTGTAGTACAGCACTTTTACAGTACAATGCATATTTTTTACAGTACATTAATGGTACTCTAATGAGAATCACTTCGTTTCCATATGCAAAATATATATTTTTTTTTGGTGGGGGTAAATGTGACCTGGATCCAGACTGACCTATGTACATTGCATTCTACCCTGCTTCAATTAACACACAGGTTTGTACAGCTGACTGAATGAGACATCAGATATGACTCGGCGATTTAGCTGTTTTTATGCAAAAAGCTCGGCAGGGAACTGGAAGTGACACTGGATCAGCTGTGGCTCTTTTAGATGACCGCACAACCGTGTCAGAGGGAGGAACGCCAATAATACAGGCTTAAAAGAGACATATTTCATTAAGATGCTCTTAGAGGAATGACAGAAACTGTAGTCACTACTCAAGGCACACTGAGTATTTCAAGGCCTATATGAATCCCTTAAAACTTTTGAATCTGGCAATTTCAGTCAGCTTTTGCTAATGTGCATCAGACGGGTGAGATGATCAAACATGTTCTTCACAAAGCGCTCGTGTGCATGGACTCACCTGGATGTGAGAGTGTGCCAGATACACGTTTGTCTTCCAGTCACTGGTCAGTCGGCGGTACTGAGATGACTTCGAGTGCACAAAGTGCTTGCTGTGAGAAGATCCTCTCTCTGCCACCGCTGAGTTCTGGATGCAATGAGATGCTCTGGACCACACGGAGAGGATCTTCAGCCTGTAAGGAGGCGATGGCAGAAACACAGAAAGAAAACATTATTTCTGTTCCTCAACTCAAAAAGTAAAGGTCACCCATTAAATAATACATGCATGAGGAAATCTTTCACCCGTGCCCTTTTTCGTCCTTACGGTCCTCACACAGATTTCGCTTGTATTCAAGCTGGTCATGCAAATTGACCAACATCTCTACTGACAACAACAATGGACCTGCAGGTTTTATGAAGGTAAGTTTAAGACTTTTTAAGACCATTTTAAGACCAATTAAAGAAAATATAAGGATTAAATTAAAGGAAAAACAATATGTCAGTGTGTTCTCTAAATGCAAATGTCCAGGGAGCACAAAAGGAATTGTATGTAACATTTTGAAAATACAACTTCCAACAGATCTCCATTAATTTGTAATTAATTTTACAAACAAAAATAGCTTCACTAGAATTTGGTAATATCTTTTAGTGTACCTTCTGAGTATACTGCTAAAACATGATGTTCTTCCTCTATATTTTTGTCTTATTTTTAAAGTTTCTTAAATCAAGACACATTGAGAAGCAAAATGACAGAAGATAAGAAGTCTTGTGTTCTGAAAAACTGATCAAAATAAAGTGAGTTTAAGATCTGTCAAAGGGGTCAGAAAAATCAACTTCATTCAAAGGGAAAACAAGTTTTCAGGCCCTTTTGACAGATACCCGTTTTTGTTTTAAGCATGAACTCCATTTTGTTAAATTTTTCATAAAACAAAACTTCAACAATCTTCATTTTGCATCACAACTAAATGTAATTTGATTTGAGGATGATTAGACTTTTGAACTAAAAAACAAGACAAAAATACTGATGAAGATATTTATTCTTTGCAGTGCATGCAATAATGCCATGACTTTATGAATTTTAAGACTTTCTGCTACAGTTTAAGAACTTTTAATCTTCAGAAGGGCAAATTAAGAGTTAAGACCCGCAGAAACAGTTTTTTGCACATGCAATTTTTGCTGAAATTGTTTATGTGACCGTACCTTAATTTTTCCCAATACTGAAACACTCTTTTTACAAAATGCAGCTACTGACCTCTCATGATGGGGGTACGTCTGCAACTCAGAACGAGCGCAACCAGATGGATTGATGGACAGTGGAAGCACCAACATGGGATTACGTCCATAACGGAATCGATACCTCGAGCACGCCTCCACACCCGGCAGCTACAATAGAGTGACAAATCACAAAATGAGCTCATCGTAACAAACTGCATGTAACTGGGAATCTCACTTTACAATATGCAGTGAGTGATACTGAGGTTGACCGTACTAACCGATTCAACAATGCGGGTAACTGCTGAGATGGTGAGCCCAAACAGGTCCTCTCCCTTCAGATAGACGGGGAAGAGTCTCAGCATGCCCGTCTCAGCCCTCCTCTCAGCCACGGGCACAAGAACCTTGTCCCAGACTCCTAGAGCACACAAACAAATAAAAAAAACATCATGTCGCTGTCGCAGGTAGGACTGTTGAGATTATCTTTAACTGGCTTTAAATGAGAGCTACACAATCACACTGAAATTTAAATTGTGATATGGCATAGCGTGATTATTGAACCTCAAAAAACTATGGGATATAGTTTTATGGGATGCATGTGGGTATATTGGGGCAGCACTTTGTGTTGCCCTCTACTACACATTCAGAGTGTATATGGGGCTCATAAAAGTTTTTTTTTTTTGGTGGTCTCAGGGTGATTTGAAGTATGTGCACAACAAAAAGGCATCGGAGTCCACTTTAATGTTCAGTTACAATGTGAATGCACAGAGAACAGTCCTTTTACACGCATCATTTCAGAATTGAAAGCGCTTTGATTCTGTTCTTTTAAAGTGGACTTTAGAGTAACTCTATTGGCAGCAGATTGCGGCCAAAACATCACTTAGTTTGGAGACAAAAGGCAAGTTTGTAGTTATTTTTTACACCCTTTTTGAACATTAAAGCTGCTGTTTCAATATGATGTTATGCCTTGTTACTGTTTTAGTCTGGTTTTTACTTGTTATTTTATGAGAGATGTTTAATGTTTATCATATCATAGTTCTGATCGATCATACATTTCAAAATAATACTAAAATACAAAAATATTTGCTCAGGGTATCTGCAGAGCTCAAATGTAAGACTTTTAAAGATGTTTTTAAGAATACTCCACACAGTCCACACAGAATAATCCCAAACAATCTCAAAATAAATCATGTATTGAGATTCTTAAGCTGAGGCACACATTCATTAAAGACTTAATACATCTTATTAACAAAACAGGGTAGCTGCAAATTTAAAATACTATTTTAGATGTTCTATTTAATATATAACATATAATGAAATTGGTTTATCTTATCTATTGATTTATCAATATATCAATACATATGAATCAGAGGCCAAACAATATACAATAATGTGTTTAAAGAAAGGCATATTTTTAAGCCTGTGCAAGTAAAATCTCTATATTGAATGTGTTTAATGTTTATAGTCTTTTTTTTTTGGGAGGGGGCAAAGCAGAGAAAAGTTAGTTTATGTTGAATTAAATGCCAGATACAGTTTAAGTAACCAAAATAGCAATAATAACCAGAAAAAAATACTTTATGCATAATGCAGGACTTGTAATTATACACAAGCCTGATAAACACCCTGATTTATTTTGAAATGTCGCTGTTTAACCATTTCCAGCTGCTCATAGAAAAGGTGATAGAGATAGAATATGCACTCTTACAACCACTTACAACATATAAACGCCACAAAGTAAACATTGTCATAATTCATCAACAGCAATCTACTGGCATTGGCAATGTGCAAGATTCACTGACCGCAAACTGCTCTGAAACTGCGGGCCGGTAGAATGTGCAACAGTGCCATGTTTTTACTTTCATTAAATCATAGCCATTTGAAGTTTAATAATCTGACTAGGCCGTATTGCAATGTCTGTTTTTCATTCCCAAATTTAAGACCTTTTAAAGTGATAATTAAGACATTTAAGACTTTTTATGACTAAATTTGAGCAAACTGAATTTAAGACTTTTTTACTGACCCGTGGGAACTCTGTCAGCTTTTATATCAGTATATGTGACATAATTAATCGAATAGAGACTGTGACAGCTGTACCTTTAGCAGTGGTGTCGGTCAGCACCAGATCCTCGTAGCCCTGCTCAATGACACGGATGCTGAATTCGGGACGCCCCTCATGCTCTTCCACAGAGCAGACGTACCGGCAGCGCTTCTGGCCGTGCCGCATGCTCCAGTAGAGCCGGCTCGCCTCGTAGCCAGGTGGAAAGATGGCTATGGACGAATGAAACGTGGGCAGCAGGGTAGGTGGCAGCTGACCCATCGCATGGAAAAGCAAACTGCCCACTCTGAAAGTATGGCCGCGTTCAGGCTGCTGTACGGCCGCCGCTAACTGTCGTAGCTCATCGCGCTGCACAAACACGCGGCGGAACACGGAGAAGCAGCGCAGCTGCTGTTCTAAGTGCAACCCGGCGGCGGTGCCAGATCCTCGCGGCCGGTGCTGGTGGCACAGCATTGTCTTATCCTTGAAAAACGTACAGCCGGCCTGCAGGGCACAGGTGAAGTGGTAGATGTTGAGGCAGCGCAGCCGATGGCAGCCACTGGTGGCACCCAAGCGCTGACAGAACACACAAACCACCGTTTGCCCTCGTTGACGCGCCAATTCCACATTGATCAGGGCCCCCGCTTGCGTCTCATAGACCTCGGAGGACCAGAGGGCGCAGTTGAGGTGCACCCAGGTGTCCAAGTCCAGGTTGAGCAGCCTGGCTGGGCCATCCGTCATCCCATCGCCTATCTGTTGGCAGAAACAGCAGCGGCGCCGATCGAGGGTGGTTGAGCACGGCCGCAGAGATGAGTTGAGCTGCTGCAAAAGCTCCTCAACTTCTGACTCCGATGTTTGGGTGGCAACTTTTGTCATCGTGATGTGTACCGTCCACTTTCGCCAGCACAGGCCTTTCCACCTTTTGCCGTGATGCCATGGTTTGTCTTCCATGTGGCTCTGGGAATGTGGTTTAAGCTTTACCATCATTTTAAAATGGCTCTCCGATATGCTTTCAGGTTTGGATTCTATCTTGATCGCTTGAGCCGCCTCAGCTGGGGTGAAAGCCGTGTGAAGATTCAGAGAGGAAGGGGACGGTTTGGGCTGGAGTTGGGCCAGGCAGTGGACATCCAGTGAGGACATGTTGTTGCTGTACTGGTGCTGGACTTTAGAGGGACTCTGTTTCAAAGCACTTTCAGGAAGTAGAGCAACAGATGCCTGGAAACACAACACAGAAACATGAAATGTGTGCAACATTCATCATGCGTAATCAAGAGCAATTTATTCATCAGTCAAATAAAATCAGCCATGCTGTTTGCATATGGATTATGACAGAGAAAACAAACCTTGGTGTCGGCGTTCCCATTGGACTGAGAGGATGATGAGTGCAGAATGAGACAGCTATGACTGCAGAACACCAAACCACAATCCGAACATAACTGAGACTCCTGGGAGAAATCAGATGAGGACATCGGGTTTAAAAATGCTTGTCTTGTCTTTCTTTAATTGCATGTAATAATGCAAGTTGTTTCGCTTCTGAAAAATGACTTTCCTGCTGATGTAATTATGCATCCTAGGGGTGGGCAATATTGCAAAAATATCATATTGTAATATTTCCAGGTAGGATTACGATCCATGATCACATGATGAGTATTTTTAATGTTGGTTTTTAAGACTAATTTGCAAGTTACTGAGCAGTTAAAACTAGCAGGCCCTACAACTAAAGAAACACAGAACAGAACACAGAAATGACAAGCAGCAGAACAAATAAATACAACAGTACAAAGATAGAAATTAAATAAACAATACTTTATCAAGCAAGTATTCAGTAGTATTCAAGTAAGAAATACTACCGAAACAATGTAATCTGAAAGTAATCTTTAAAGTAATCAAATGTAAAATACAACATTTTACGAATGAAATATACATAGATTTTTTATTAAAATTACAAAAAAATGCTTTTCTCTTTTTTCTTTTGTAGTCTGATTAACATTAATGACAGACAGCAGCAAGTTTTTTTAGGCTGCTGTCACTTTAAGACCTAACGCACTGATCTAATATACTGACACAAATCCTATTTTCTCCCAACTGTTTATGTTAACCTAAGACATTAGTAATTTTGTTAATGTGAATACTGGCCAAGGCGGGCATTTTTGCATTTTTTTTTGTGTGTATTTAACCATTTAGGCGCACACCCGAAACCCAGAATATACTTAGCATGTTCGTTTTCTGTTCATGATACAACGATCCAATCAATTCCCACTCAATAAAATAAAGTCCCACCCTACATTTCACTTGGAAATATGCCACATTTCAGAACTAAAATGGGTTTCAAATGCCCTTTTGAATTCACTAAGGGAAAACTAAAATAACATTCATACCTGTGCTTTGCCCTGCTCATCTTTGTTAATTTTCCTCACGCCATTGCCCAGGACTACCACTTTACAGTGTTGACACCATTGTTGCTTCGGTCCTGGGCTTTGCTGTATCTTCTTATTCTGCGCTCTACCGCCAACAAGACCTGAACGAGATCCACAGTTGTCAATAAACAGAAAAGGTTCTTCCTACCAGCTCTGATTAGCGTAAAAACGGCAATTACACAACGATAATAGAGAGCGGTGTCATTTCCCTGCAATGAACGCGGTGTAATCTTGTATTGAGGTTTGTAATCTGATTCAGTACATTCATTAAGTGAGTATCTGATACAGATGAGCAGACTTCAATAGGATGGAGTTCAGGCCAAGATCACTACTGCGTTTAAGTAGCTTCTCCAATCGTTCACAAAATCAATAGTGATTTTCCATCAGCCAGACACAGACACAATACTGCACAGTTAACAAGTGATGGATAAACAATTCCTGATTGCTATCCTATAATTGTATTTGTGTAAACATGCTGAATGCAACTGTGTACCAATCAGGTTAATTCTACCGCTACATTCTGTATCCATGTATGTATTTTGCACCATAAAAGTGATTTATTTATTTATTTATTCAGTTATTCATTTACTCATTGTTCCATCATTGTCAGACATAATGTAACAAAAGTGTTTATATATTATATATAAAGATAAAATGTTTATTTGGATTTTTGATTTTATCAATATATATATATACTACCATTTAAAAGTTTGGGGTCAGTGAGGTTTTTGAAAGAATTAATATTATATTCATCAAGAATGCATTAACTTGATCAAAAGTGACAGTAAACACATTTATAATGTTAAAAAGATTTATATTCCAAATAAATGCTGTTCTTTTAAACAGTCTATTCATCAAAGAATCCTGCTAAAAAAATCACGGTTTCCACAAAAATATTAAGCAGAACAACTGTCTTCAACATTGATAATAATAAGGAATGTTTCTTGAGCAGCAGCTCATATAAAAATGATTTCAGAAGGATCATGTGACACTGTAGACTAGAGTAATGATGTTAAGCTATGCATCACAGAAATAAATTAAATTTTAAAATATGTATTTAAACAGAAAACAAATATTTCAATTAGTAATAAAATTTCACTATATTACTGTTTCTACAGAATTTAAATGCAGCCTTAGTGAGCATAAGAGACTTTTAAACATTTAACTTACAAACCCAATCTTTTTTTTTTTTTTAAATACTAAAACCAAAATGATTTTTAAATCACCTTTATGTTGCATTATACACATCCGATGTCAAGGATAACACGGAGAACATCTTTATGTAGACAAAGACATATATTTGGCCTGAAACCACTGTTAGAAAGATTTAATGGTGACAAAATATGGATAAGCAGGTGTTCCTCACTTTTGTTATAGTTGTGCAGAAGCTGCAGGTGCTGAGGTGCTTGCTGTGTGGCCCGCAGTCCATTCGGCTCGTGAAGTGCAGAGGTCAGACGCTGTGGATCCACCGAGGTCTTGATGGCCCCCATAGTTCCCCCCGGGCCGCTGCTGACCTCATAGCTGCTGGGGATCTTCACACGGATCAGGTCAGCAATGGCTGCAACAACGTCAGTGATGTTCTGAAAGACCACAGTGAAGAATAAGAGGGGTTTAGATATTATATCATACATTATTTGAAATGTAGTAGCTGTGTTTATTGAGGCAAGCATCACTATTCTTACTGCTTATACTTAGGGTTCAGGCAGCAGGTTTTTCTTATTGGCAGAAACAACTCACAATTTCTTCAGACAATGTAATAATCTAGTTATTTATACTACTTCTGCTCGCTCCATTTCAACTGACTGTTTGTAATATGAATTTAAATTATCTGTCAAATTTTGTGTATCTGCCCATTCTGTAGCAGGGAAATGGCTGTACTTCTTCTTCCATGTTTTGTTGTACTTGCTGTAATGTTCTTGTACTGTCATTCAAGACACATTCTGCAGTGGTGCATCAAGTGATTTGGATAGAAACGGATTTCTCTGGTAAACATCACTGTTTCTCACCTCGGCAGCTGCTGGCTTCAGTGTGATGGCGATGGACACCAGTCCAGTGTTGGAGCCGTTTTGCACTGATCCAAATGGAGAGCCGAAGAACACTGATGAAGGCTCCGTCTTGACCTCTCGTAACCTGACCTCTGAGCCTACAAAATAAGAGGAATAAACAAAAACAGATAAAAAAATAAATAAAAATCCACTGTGGTCACCCAGCAGAGCACAGAACATTTACAATGTAAGTGTAGGCACAAAATGGAAAGAGTTTATTACCTTTGCCCCTAAAGACAGGAAACATTGGAATTACTGGAGACAGGGCTGGAGAAGGAGGCTCCTCCTTGACCAATGAGAGAGCAGGATAGCGGCTGATCTCCATGCCAACGACACTCTCTGGGGAAGACGACGGGACAAAGCTGTCTGGGGTGTCTCTGTCTTCACAGTGCTCCTGTCCCCTGTGTGTATAAGAAAAATACATTGTGCTGAAAAATAGATTTAAAACACAATCACATTCAAAGTTCTGTCAACCTGCTATTTTGTTTCCATTACCTTTACGCACATACCATGGGGATTCTTTAATTGGGGCGCTTTTGAAAGTTTCAAAATAATGAAACTTCTTCAAAAGGGTTTAATCTGTGTTAAAGCATTTGCTCTGGAATAAAAGGCTGAACAAGGCCTTGATCAACCTTCAAGTGGATTGTAAAAACGGTGCCTAATTGTGTGATTGTAATGACATTTTTCAGTTTTTGGAGAAAGCGTTGGGCTTGTATTTGGCCTTGGACGAAGGTTAGCTAGCAGTCAATTCAGTTAGAATTTAGGTTACACTTTATTTTGATAGTCCACTTTAGACATTCTATTAACTATAAGTAACTTTGTAACTACATGTCAACTACATGTCAACTAATTCTCATTAATTTGCAACTACATGTCTACTAACTCTCAGAGTAGACTGTTAGGGTAGGTTTAGGGTTAGTAGAATAAGTTGACAAAGAAAGTGTTAGAAGATATTAAGCAGACAGTCTACTAATACTCTACTAACTGCTAGTTGACATGTAGTTGCAAAGTTACTTACTGTTAATAGAATGTCTAAAGTGGACTATCGAAATAAAGTGTTACCAGAATTTATAAAGAAAAAAAAAAAAAAAGAAACTGATTATTACTGACTTTCACCGATCTTCATAACTTTTAAGATCATGATGTAAACAAATTCTGATCTTCACTCTGAAGTATGGCAGTACAATTACAACTTCTGGTTTTAACATTATAAATTTATTATAGAGGGAAGTTAAAAATCTGTGGAGATGATAAGCCAAAAACAGAGACATTTTAACTTTCAAAAGTCTCAAAACTTAGGAAAAATAAAGACACAGTAAAAAGTAATTAAACACCATAAAATTCATCCTAGAGGACAGAAAACTTACCCTAAATGAGGAATCAACCCTTTATTTTATGGAATCGACTTCTCATGTGATGCTACTGCACTCTCATTTCACACCTAATGCTAAATCTTATAACATTCAAAACAAATTCATTTATAGTGATGCTAATATTTATTAGCATAAAGATATTAAAATATGTTCTCAAAAATATGGTGTTTTTGTTTAGTTAGGATCAAATATGGGTGCTTTCTCAAAATGACAGGGAAAAAATTATGTACACTATCATTCAAAATTAAAAAGTATGAGGTCAGCATGATTTCTTAATGTTGAAGAAATCTGAATTTTCATTAGCCATTACTCCAGTCTCCCTGGTCCCTGCTAATACATCTAGAACTTAGCAAAATTGCAATTATAACTATTCTGTTACTGAAAATACACATTTGAAGGTCAGACTTTGATATAACAGAAATGTTAAAAACATCAATGGGAAGTGTAATCCCAGTTCTTGTTATCTGTCTACTGACCTGAGCTCTTCCTGGTTGTTATGAGGTGGGGTGGGAAGAGAGGCCGGCACATTCACAGTTTTGGGCCCCTGAGCCAGAGCTCGAGCCAGCAGCTCCTCCTCAGCCTTAAACTGCAGCGGTCGAGAAAGCAGCCCTTTGGTGACTGTTCAAACAAAAACATTGGTGTCATTATGAATATTATAATACACGTATTTTTATGTGTGTTTTGGGTTGTTGTTATAACTTGTTCACCATCATGGCCAACAATGATGCCACCTTTGCTGGCAAGCTCCTCTGTTGTGGCAAAGCCATTGAGCAACTTCTGGCGCGCCACTGGAGGAGGAGTCGGGGGCAGGGAGGCAGGAGGTGTGGGAGGGTTACTCAAATTATTCTGCTGTAGAGAGAGAAAAATATGAGAGACCATCTGCACATCTCATACATGAAATCTAATAAGTGGAGTTTACCGCTGATGTCACGCGACTTGAAGTAGGTCATAAAAAAGCTTCAGCAGCAAATGTACAGTCATGGAGTGTTTTATTAGCTGCTCTTAATTACCTTGTAAATCAGCTGGGAGTAATAGTCAGAGACACCGTCCAATGAGGCGCTCCCAAATGTGCCCGAGAGACGGCTCTCTCCGTCCAGCTGTCCGCCCCCAAAGGGCACGAAATGGGCAAAGTTCACCCCAACCAGAGGCTCCATTAGGGGCAAGAGAGAAAGCTGCTGGTGCAGTGAAACAATGAGACACAAAGAGAGACACAAGGGAAACGTGAGATAAAGGTCATGCTTAGAAAAGCGTTTGAAGAGAGACCTGCACTCATGAGGTCCTATATGAATGTTATTAAGAAAACTGACAACTTCTCATGTGATGAGCAAAAGGTATGAGATACATCTTATGCTAAGACCCTTTAATTTAATTTCACAGTGACTATATTTACTATTATATTAAAAGACAGAATATACTTTAATTAAAAAAGATATTAAAATGTTATTAAAACAGAATTAAATTGATTTGATTGATTTAGTATATAGTTAGATTGAACCAAATATGGATGCCCTCTCAAAAATACAGAAAAAATAACTTTACTGTTGAAACGTTTGGCGCCAATACGATATTTAAATGTTTTTAAAAGTCTCTTATGAACACCAAGGCTGCATTTATTTTGAGCAAAAATACAGTAAAACTGTACTGTGAAATATCATTACAATTTAAAACATTTTTAAAAGTTTTCTATTTAAATATATTTTATTCCTGCAATGCAAAGCTGAATTTTCAGCATCATTAGTCTTCAGTGTCACATGATCCTTCAGAAATAATTCTAATATGCTGATTTGCTGCTCAAGAAACATCTCTTCTTCTTATTTTAAATGTCTTTATTGTCACTTTAAAACAATTTAATGAATAAAAGACAAAAAACAAAAGAATTGTTAAATTGCTAACAAAACACATATGTAATGAGCAACTTTTTTGATAGAGAAAACTTCAGTCAGGAGATTTTAAAACTGCTGTGTCGATTCCAGATTCCTCATTCATAGAGCTCATTATCTACACCAGTGACTTTCTTTCATGTGATGAGCGTTCATAATGCCTCACAGCACCATCCTCCTTTGTACTGTGATTTCTATTGTGATGATACGCCAGACATGAGTTGACATGGCACAGCCTCTCCTGTCTGTAATCATGTCTGAGATTAAAAGCAGAACATGCTAGACTCTTTCTCATAGTGCATGACAAAGTGGCTTCGACAACCACATATATACCAGACCACCGGGCGTAACTCAAGAAATTATAATAGCAATGCAAAAAGTGTATGATATCTAACATTAAGTGGATTTGCTACAGCAAAAATCACTTTCTTTATTAGCATTTAGTCTTTTTTCCTCAGTAAAAATACATAAACGTCCTCAAAAGAAGATACATTTAGAAAGGTTTTTCTGTAACACTTTACAAAAAGGTTCCATTATGTTAATTACATTAGTTAACAAACTAACAATGAAAATACTTTTAAAGCATTTATTAATCTTAGTTCATGTTGATTCCTACATTTTCTAATACATTATTAAAATCAATTTATGATTTATAAAAGATCATGTGACTCTGAAGACTGGCGTAAAATTCAACTTTGCCATGGAATAAATAAAACTTGAAAATAAATTATTGAGAGACTTGAAAAATGAACACTTTATTAATATTGCTCATAATGCTAAATGATAAGCTGCAGTGTGAGTCAAAAAGAACACATTTCTTGTTTGGTGTATATGAAGGGATCCCTACTGACAGGGCTGTGACAGACTGAAAATAAAAAGGATTTTTCGTCGTACCTGTTTTAACTGGGTCATCACTGGCTCAGTAGAGGAATACACTGCTTGATTCTCGTCCCCTTCTTTCTTCCGCTTTTTACAGCGGGGAGTGGGTCTGTCTCCATTCTTGGGTGCCCTCTTGTTCCTCTGTTTCTTCTTGTCCTCTGGAAGTAATGGTCCAGGGAAATCAGGGTGGTTTGAATCCGAAAATGTCTGTGGGGACGGAAAAATGACACCGTTAAGACAAAGAGTTCATAAATACACATGTATTAAAATGAAAATGATGCATCCTGAATCACTCACCCCAGTGCTGTCCATGGAGCTCTGTCGTAGAAATGCTTTGTAGTCTGTGGATCCCTCTTCCTCTGACCTCAAACGGTCTTCAGACCTCTGGTGGGGCAGTGCAGGAGGTAGAGTCCTCTTATTCTTCAGGAGGTGTTTGAGGAGTTCATTCCCAGCATCTCCTTTGAAGCTGTTGGCTGGACTTTGGCTCGCAGGATGAGGCAGCATTCCTTCCCTCTCTCCCTCTACCTTGACCATGCCTAGTCCCATTTCCATTTCCATCTCCATTCCCTTATGCCCGTGGCAGTCATTCGCCTCCACCTTCTCCAATTTGATGTTGGACAGGATCCTGTCATGCATCTCCTGTTGGGTCATGGCCATCTCTGGCCCTCCACCACAGCTGCCTTCAGAGAGCTGGCGCTCCAGCTCAGAGTGGGGCTGGCTGCTCATGGAGCCTGGTGTAGACGATCCAGGCTGGGACGTCTCGCAGAACTCATGGTCGCCGAAGACCATTGGGTTCCTTGTCGGTGTGGATGATGTATCTGACACGCAGGGTGTTAACGGGGCTGTCAGGTCCGAGTGAGGTGTGGAAGGAGCTCTCAGGGACTCACAATCATCATCTTTCTTCTTCTTGCGGTTCCTCTTCTTCTTGCCCTTCTCCTCTGGAATGATGTTGGAGTACAGCTGGATAAGTGACGGACCGGGACCTGGAAAGTTTGGAGGCAAGGGCGTGGGACCCTCCATTGGAAACTGATGCGCTTGAGTTGGATTCTGAGGCATCATGTTTGGCCCAGGATATCTCTGAGTTCTAGCTTGTGCTTGGACAAAGTTAGGCCCATGGGGTGCTAGGTTCTCAGAAACAAACCCCGGTCCCATTTCCTGAGGGAATGGACCGTTACCCATCATTGGTCTGGATGGTCCTCCAACGAACCCTGGTTGCATGCCTTGCTGCTGTGGAAATGGTGGACCTTGCATCTGCTGCATTCTGGGTGGCTGCATGAAGTCCTGCGGTAGCTCCTGGTTATAAAAAGGCATTTGGGACAAGGCCCTCATGGTGCCATCTTGGCAGTTAGGGACTTGCTGTTGCTCCATGCAGTGTTTCACCCGCTGCCTTTCCACCTCCTTCATGAGCTGCACCCTTTGCCTCTCCTGCTGCTCGCGTAGTCGCTCCTTACGCTCACGTTCCTGGAAGCCTTCGCTAAATGGGTTGGTATCGTCGAAATTCACGCCCCCCGCCTGCCCCTGACCGGGCCTAGCCACTGCCGGCTGCGGAGGCTGTGCCTGCACTACTTGAGCGGGCATTACTCCTGGCATCTGAGGTCCTCCACTGGGAACAGGTGCACCAGGGTGCCAACCTGCTGTGTTGCTCACATTAGCTGCATCTGGTTGGCTAGGATGGAGACGAATGGGCATCATTGGACCCATCATAGGTTGGTTCACTGGGGGCCCAACTGGCATCATACCAGCATGAGGCTGCATTGGTGGCATTCCATGCATCATTGCGGGCTGCATGCCACCTTGTTGCTGCTGTTTAACCCTGTACTCCTCTATCAGCTCTGCATGCTCCTTCTGCTGTTTGCGAATCTGGAAAAAACAGACATTTTACATTTAAAAATCTTAAATTGGACTGTTGAGGAATAGGGAATATGTTCTTGCCTCTATAATATATAGTGGTGAATCCTTGAAACAACGTATGAATTAAGCCAACAATGGTATTTTAGAAATAATACTCTTCATTAGACATGAATTCATTGTAAATGTAGCAGCATGTCTTACATCAGAAAATATTATTTCATTATATACTACGGGGCTGTTGAATGCTTGAATGTGATTGGCTGATGAACGTTCTAAGGTGTGCAATTATTTTCAGGGAAACGCACGGAGAAAGTAGTTCCAGGCAGGTCTTGACCGCATTATATGTCAATATCACTTCGCCAAATGATTTCCAAGCCAAGCAAATATAGTAAACGCCAAGATAAAATCAACAAATTATTTCCCTGTTTTTGCCACAAAACTACGTTTATTATGTACGGAAACATACATGTGCACAGAAATGTGTTGTTAGCAATGCTCTGATGATTTTAGCAAAGTAAAAGTTACATGCCATATCTCACTAGCGAGGTAACAACAGCGCTGTTCTTGAAGCAGATGCACTTCATGAACAGTTCCGCTATTAGTAGAGACATTGCTGCCGAACACTGTTGAGAGGCACACAGACTCGCTCTCTCACTCTCACTCACTCAACAACAGAGACGTTGGATGAGATGCGTAAGAAATTAGTCCTACAACTAAGATAGGTTTAAGGACAAAAACCTGACAAATGTCTTGAAATACAATATCTGAACAATATTTGAGGTGTGGTAACCATAGTATAAGAAGAATAATCGACTCCTGTCTGTTGAATTATTAGAAAATAATGCACACCCGAGCTTGAGGAAAGATAGCTGACGCTTCACATCCTGGCCACATCACCACCTCGGGTGTGCATTATTTCATAATAATTAAATGGCCCGTCGTTAATATTCCTTAGGTATATTACCATTTCAATTTGTACAAACCATAGCTGAACCACAGATTTAAAAGATATTTATTATCAGAATGTGTTCTGTCCTTGATTACTGCAAAAAACTTGTTAGTGTAAATGATCATTTCTAACTTTGACTATTACAAAGAGAAACAGTCATCCAAATATTTAACATATTCTGTTACACCAAATACACAAAATAATGATCTTTAAAATAGCATCATATGACCCCTTTAAGGAATCTGTATTCAGTTAACAATTCTGAAAAACTACTAAATAATGAGATTATTGCAGGACAATAACTGTATCTATAGTTTTAATAACTGTTCTAATTTTGGGAGAATAGTGATGTCCATGCCACAACTTTAGCGCTAACAACACAGAGGAACAATATAATTTGAATCACTTTCAGAGTGTTTTGTTTTCCACCTGATGAAAGATAAAAACACTGACAGCCGATCAGAGTCACCTGACTTTAAAGAGCTTGATCATTTAAAGCAGCAGACAACAACTGCAGCACACACTTATATTAAACAGATGGTTATCGTCCATTGGTGTGGACCTATTGTTATAGTTATTGTTCTCGGTGTGAATTGGCCTTAAATCAAATAACAAGGTGCATTGTTTTCAATGATGAAATGATATGTGTATTGTAATTTACTTTTCAACACTATCAAAATACTTTTTTGAGATTGTTATAAACTGAAAACTGTTTAAATCCACAAATGATTGATATTATGTGTGTGCTTTACCTGTTCCAGCTGTTTCTGCACCACACCCTGCTGTTCTGTCACATGTTTCAGCTGCTCTGCATCCTCATCAGGAAACTCTCGTCCTGCTTTCTTGGCAGTTCTCTGCTTGGCTGACAGGGCCTTTTTTGACTTTCTGTGGGCCCCAATCTGCTCCTCCAAATACTTCTGCTGCATCTGAAGCAGCTGCTGGGTTTCCCTGAGCCAGTCCTCATACTGAACCTTCTGTGCGTCACCTTGATGGGGGAAAGGTTGGAATTAATTACTAGCATACATACAAATACATTTACAGATACATGTTTGTGATTAAATGTAAAACAGCAATTTAATATATGCTTAGTTTTGAATTACATTACACATTATACACATCTTTATACAATATGGACTGTATTACTAATCTATAATTATTAAAGACTTACGGGCAAATCCTGTCCCAAAATTTGGGGGATTGGGTCGTGCCATGTGAGGAGTAAGTTTGTCATCCTAAATGAGAAATTAACAGAACAAAGAGACAATCATTATGGACTTGAACTGCAAACCTTTTTTTTTTTTTTTTGCATTGACTAAAGAAGAAAATCTGCCAAATTCTAAGAAATACAGCTACTGATTACTACACACTTATTGGTAGGTAAAGGAAAATCAAATTAGCCAAAATATTTTATAAACACACAAGATGTAGGCGTTCAAATTTGGCTGAAATCTGCTAAATTTTCTGCAGAGTTCTACAGGCTCAGATTCCATGTGGGCCTGCTGATAAGAAGAAATCTGATTTGAGTCTCACCTGTCCAGCCAACTGCATTGGAGTTATACCTCCATCAGGGCCTGGTACCGCCTGCTCTGTCTGGACACTAATTGAGATTTTGTGAAGGAGAATAATGGAAGAGCCATTACTGCAAAAGCTCATACACTGAAATAAATCTAATAATATTTCAGTCAAATAAACGAGCCCATTAACTCACTTGTTCGTCACCATAGGAGACATTCCCATGTTGTTCTGGACCATCATTTTATTGATTCCTTTCAATGCAACCATCTTTGCCTTCATTATAGGGTCTGTGATAGCATCAAAATCTGAATAAATCAATGGAAAAGTATGCAAATTTAAGCAAATTATAGTCAAGTACACAGTTTCTTAAAAAATATAAAGTACAAATATAAAATTGTTTAGCTTGTGATAAACGGAGTAAAAATGTGTTTTAATGGATTATTCTGTTAAATATAAGTAAAGCTCTATCCACAGCATCTGCAGCATGGTACTGATTACCACCAACAAAAAATTTGTTTGTAAAAACAAAATAAGTTTTACTTTCAAATCAAAGTTTATGCACCAATTCCATCAGAAGTGCATTTCATATATATGCCATTTACTCAAAATTACAATCAAAATTACTCACAGTCAGGATTGCCAGCCGAACAGCAGGTTGAAACTGTTCAAAACTGTTAAAATTTAGCAGTTTGTGCAAAACCACATTTTTAAAATAGTTGCAGTAAAGTAGTTCTATGTGCACAATGAAATAGTCAAATGTTGTACAATGAGTTTCTTATCTTTTCAGTCTTTGACCAGCCGTTTGCCACATGCAAAACAGACAAAGGCCTAATCTCGCATAAAGGAAGAACAAAATTACAATACTCATTATATTTGCTACCCCTTACCTATGTTAGGGAAGAATGACTCGCTGGAACGCTGTCTTATAATAGCTTGCATTTGCTTATGCTGCTGCTGCTCCTGTCTCTCCTGATCCAGGAGGTCTTGGAGAAGAAGTGGCTGCTCTTCCAGAAGCAGTGGTCTGTTCTGATGGCCTTCCTGTGACAGCATCGCCTGTTGAGTAAGAATACTGTGTTGTTCCCCTGAGAGTACAGCATCCTTTTGATCAATACCAAAAATATGGCTTTGTTGCTGTTCCTGAATGGAGCCTGGGACTTCTAATGCACTTTCACCATGAGAAAACACCAAAGACTGGTCAATACTGAGGCCAGTATCCATCCCCTGCACTGAGAAGTTTCCTTGCCCCAACATAGTGCTACTGAGTGACATGGTAGCTTCCTGATTTAGAGGGTTGCTTTGTGCCGCTGACTGTCCACAGTGTTCCTGCTTCTGTGATTCACCTTCTAGTGGTACATTGACCAGCATGCTTGAAAGCACTGGAGTAGCATCGGGGTGAATTCCAGACTTTGGAACCTGTAAACTGGCATCAATATCATTTTCAAAGCCAGTTTGATTAATGGCAGCACTATCATTTACCTGATTCTTACAAGAGGTGTCTTGGGACAAGCAATCTTTAATTCCATTTTTGCTATCCTCTTCTGTTTTCAAGGAAACCAGCACCTGATCCTGGGGAACGTCTTGACTGATGTGACCTTGAGATTGAGCAGTATTGACCACTTCCTTCGCTGTCGATGTAGAACATGATGATGATGTGCCATCAAAACTATCAGTCTTTTTCTCTGCTTTTGTCTTTTGGAAATCAGACGTCTCAGTGTGGTCTTCTATTGGATCACTGAGATCCAGGTCCTCGCTAAGATCTAAATCAGCATCAGCATAAGCAATTATATCAAATTTCCCAGACGTTAAGAAGTCATCTAGATGCAGGTCATTTGTTTCAAGATCCAAGTCCTTTCCATCATCTGGATCGAGATTTAGGTTCTCTAAATCGGCATCGACAAGGTCCTTCACCTCAACATCTTCAAGGTCCTTCACAGCAGATTCATCAGTATCGATTTTCTCCTCAGGTACTTCATTTGTGGATAAAGGGACCTCATTGTTTTGTACAGCAGATGTAGCAGCAATACTTGTGAGTAAGGGAGCACTGAGAGTCTCGTTGGAAGCAGGTTGGCTTATAGACCTTGTCAGGGGGATATGTGGATGTCCAGCTCTCAACGGAATATTGGCCTGCTGTAAATTCCCCAAGCTGAGCGATGCCTGCATCTGCGTATTAGCTACCTGAGACTGATTCATTGTTGTGTCCATTGGTTTTGGAATCTGATTGAAGGGGAATCCCATTTCTTGGCCACCCATGAAACCTGGGGGTCGTTGCTGTGAGGGCGATTCCATTCCATTTCCCTGCATAGTAGGAGTTCCAAAGGGAAGCCGCAGTCTGCTATCTGGCACTCTGTGTCTCAGTTCTATGAAGGGCTGCCCCATGATGTTGTGCTGTTGCACGTGCATGCCACTAGGAGGCAAATGTAAGGTTACTAGAGGGTTGCCTCCTACTGATTTTCCCAAATCCATAGATATGGATCTTCTCATCTGTGGATGAGTTTCAATTATTGGGTCCTGCATCTGATGAGGCCTTGGAGCTCCCAGAGGACCTTGGACATTAGGAGTGATGGGCATCCTAAAATCAACAGGAGATCATTATTATTTTTGCAGTGTTTGAAAAACTTTAGTCCCTACATTTCATACAAATGTTTTGAAGTATATAAAATCACCCACCTTGGCCCAAGCTGCCTTATATTTGAGTCAGCATCCCCAGGAAACTGTGGTCTAGGAAACTGGCCTTCAGGGAAATGCCCCTGCTGATCTCCTGGGAATGGCCCATGGAATCTCTGAGGGGCTCTTACAGCTCCGGAACCAGGATATGGTGGTGGCGGGCGATTAAACATTTCACTCTGTTGGCCTGTAGACTCCTGATTCCAGCGCTGAGGGGTTCCTGGAGGCATGGTCAGAGGATGATCCTGTACACCCTTATCTTGACGTATGGCACTTTTCTGCTGTTGCTGTTTGAGGATCAACTCTCGAATACGCTGACGCTGTGAACAAATTAACGTTGTGTTAAATGTTGTTGTACAAATTATATATTGTAACTAATACAGTGCACTTAATAAAACAAATAAACCATCTTAAATAGAGTAGCAACAAAATAAAACAACACCTGTCTGAGTCTTTCCTCAGCTTCTGCAAGAGGTACCGTTTGAGCTTCAGAGCTGGGCTGGCCCATGGGGTGGGAACTGATACTCTGTACCAAACCTTGATGCTCTTTGTTTTCTCCACACTGAGGATGTGGAAGCATGGGGGCCTGCTCAAAAGGGTCATGGATGAGAGTTTGATTGGGTCGACTGGATAGCAGCTGAGATCCGGTTTCGTCTGTCATGCCCAGATGTTTGAGGGGCTGAGGTCCATGTTTTGTTGGACTGGCAAATGTGTCTTGCATCAAGACTTGAGGAGGAGAGAATGGATCTTGATTAGACATGGGCCCAGGTCCCAAGCCCTGTCCGACGCCTCTAGGATGAGGTGTTCGTAAGGGATGTGCACATGAATCATTAGGTAATGACTGGGACCTTCCCACTGACTGTGCATGAGGATCGGGCCCAACAGTGCGTGGCAGTCCGGGAGGTTGAATAAAAGGATCAGGAGTCCTTTGGTGACTTGGAGACTTGGGGAACCGGTCTGGTATTCCTGAGCGTGGGGTACCAGGGGGTTGTGCGTAAGGGTCCATTGACATAGGGGACATTATGCAGTTTTGAGTCTGCTGCTGAGACTGTTGAGAGGGCTGATTCATCATGACCGGATGGCGAGATACAGGCTGCTGAGAGTAGGGTTCAGGGTCATGTGGTCTAGGTGTGCCTGGCATTCTAGCGTATGGGTTAGAAAATGGAGACTGGGTAAAAGGGTCACTTGAAGGTCTTGGTGTAGCAGGTTGTTGTCCATAGGGATCACACTGGGAATAGTCTGGCCGAGGGGTGGAGGGGGCTCGAGCATATGGATTACAGGAAGTCTGGCGTGTCATTGGCCCAGGCTGAGAAAAAGGGAGGGTTTGGGGCTGTCGTGGAACCCTTTGATTTGCATAGCCATCACTAACTGCAGGACGAGGAGTGAGCGGAGGCTGCGCATAAGGATCATTCTGTTGATTCTGGGAGAATCCCTCAGAGGACCGAGGGGTCATCATTGGTCTTTCGAAGGGATCCCCACTTGCTCTCCGGGCAAGCATACCTGCATATTGTTCCTGAGTCTGAGGGGGTGGCATAGGGGTTTTAAAGACCTGGACGGACCCTGATTCATTGCTGCCTGGGATAGGTGTGAGTAAAGGACGAGCATATGGGTCTGAGAGTATCATCCTGCCCTGAGGCATCCTCTGGTAGGCTTCCTTTCTCACAGACACCCTAGAGAATGGATCATGGCCTGGGGAGCCAATAAGATGCCTCCCTTCCAAAGTCTGACTAGCTCTGGGAGGGCACATAGGTTTGAGAAAAGGGTCTGGAGCTCCTGCTGGCCTTGGGGTGTCTGGGGGCTTGGCATAGGGGTCATTACATATGGCTGTTGGAGAGCCAATTGGCTCTGAAAGACCTCTGGGAGATTTCCCTGATTCTGAGTTATGGCGTGGATTTCCCTGCCCAGTAGTTGGTGGTCTGGGTGTGCCTACCATTTTGGTGTAGGGATCCCAGGGTGAGGATGGTCTAGAGCCAGAGGAGCTTGGGGAGAACATCTGAGGGCTCTGTGGCTGAGATCCTGAAGATGGGGGTGGTGGATGAGGGCGCAAAAAGACGTCATCTGGGGAACACGATGTAGGCGTGCCGGGCAGCTGTGACTTTGAAACCTCATTTTTTGAAATGGGCTGCTTGGGAGACATGTTCCCATTGTTGGAATGCACAGACACTGGACTCTGCAGGTTACTGGAAGAGTCATGCTCAGATTGGCTGATTGACGGGAGCGGTTGCTGCTGCTGCTGTTGAAGTTGTTCACTCTTCACCTGCTCAAGTTTCTGTGTAGCTTCAATCCTAGCTTGCTGCTTACTTTTCTGTCTCATTTGCTGCAACAAGTGGAAAAAATATATATTAATGATTAAATAATAAGAAAATGTACCATATGTGATTTATTTAAAATACATAATGTATTACAATTACAATAAAATTCATTCAATACTAATAAATCAAACCAAATTATCTGTTGACAAGCTGAATTACTTCTTGGCAAAAGGGAACACACAGATGTAACTCATTTGAAGTTCTGAGAAGTTCCTAAGATGTCCGAGTTTATGCATGAAGAAAATATCACATTTCAAACATTTTTTCATATTCCTTTCTGCCCTCTCAAGTAAACAAATATGCTTTAGTAGAGTTTATTCCGAAGGCTGCCCATGCAAACATTTCAACATTAAAAACAGTAGCACAAAATGCAGTTGTGACCTATTTGTTACACGTTTGTTGTTTTTAATGTTACGCTCTCAATGAAAAATGAAACTTGTGTCTCAGTTCTACAAATTAGACAATTAAAGACGTAGAGATGCCATTTATATCATTTACTTGCTGTTGACAAAACCAAAACATTTCTGGCAGTCAACAATTTAGCTCTTTTCCAAACAAATGTCTATAGAAGACTTACCTGTCTATACTTCCATTCTTGTTCATGCTCTGATTCCTTGTGCTTCAGTGGATCGTTGAACAGTAATTCTGGGTCCAGTGGTGGAATAGCAGGATCAAACACTTCTAAAGGCTGCTGTGGCTGAGGCGGCTGCCTCTTAATGGTCTCGTTGGACATTTGAACTTTGTTCATGCGCAGGGCTGCCCTGTTATCTCTGGCCTTTTGCTGTGAATGGCAGAGTGGTTGTGCAGTGTTGATATCAAAGAAAGACCACTGAAATTCAAAGGTTGCATAAATTTGCTAAAATTACATGGTTTTTAGACTGTCTAAAAGCTTTTTTTTAATTTATTTTTTTTACTTTAAGTGGCACTCCTTCCCTTTAATCATATCTTTTTAAATGTATTTATCTCTCCCACTGAAATTCAAAGGTTGCATAAATTTGCTAAAATTACATGGTATTTAGACTGTCTAAAAGCTTTTTTTAAATTTATTTTTTTTACTTTAAGTGGCACTCCTTCCCTTTAATCATATCTTTTTAAATGTATTTATCTCTTAGACCGTAATGAGCTCCTTGGGTCCAATTTATTCTTTTGACTTTTGAGCAACACTCAAGAGTCCCTTTATCCTGTTGAAATAAATTCCAAGCTTTTTAGTGGCGGCCTGATCCTGGTCTAGCGGGTAGACCAACATAGCCACGTTATTCACCCGCAAAATTTAGCAGGTGAAGCCATTCGACACACCAGCACATCAGCATTCAAAACATGTATATGCTGGTTCACCAGAAACCCAGCTTCCCATGCTGGTGGTGATGATGCTAAACTCAAATGTATTGCAGCAGATACTGTGTTAACTTACCACATATGGAGCCCGGTCCTGTGAACTTGCTTTTCTCCACAGTTTTGCAATTTGTTTCACTCGTGTTGACCAGTCTGTAAGGTTATAACATTAAAATAAAAGTATCTATTAGAAGAATAACATTGAGGGATATTAAGAAGAGATGGAAATCTAAATATACCATATTGACTTTCTTAACTGCATTAATATATGTTAGATTACATACTAAATATAGTAAAATGGATTGCTAATAGCAATTTGTTTTGATTGTAACACATAGTACTTTATTGATTTTCAAAGCTGCTAATGACAGATCACTTTGAAGTCCCTTGGCTGACCTGGATATTCCTCCTTGAGGTTTGGGAAGTTGACATTAGTGTACAGGACCGGTGCAACCGTGGCAAGTTCTCCAAGCGTTTCCTCTTTCTCCCACTTCAGAGTGCTTTTCTGTGCGGTGGACATGGAGTCTCCCTCCACCTCAGAGGACAGAACATTCCGGTAAAGGTGAAATTTATGATTTTTGAAGAATGTGCAATTGCCATCAACACCGAATTACAAAAATAATGTCAAACAGGTTTCTTGAACGCTCCCCCTGTCTGTCATTGGCCAAACAGAAATTCTCAACCAAAAAAACCCAAAACCATGCTGGTTCAACAATATAGATTTCTTTAATGATTATGCTCTAATAATGCAGAATTGTTTTGACAACACCACACTGTTCACACTCTTTTGAAAGTCAACCTATGAATGCCGCACTTACAGTTGTCTGTGCATTAAAACCAGCATGGGAGTATTTTAACATGGAAAATATGACACACATCATACATAGACAAATGTTACCAACAAAAGACAACTGCTAAATTAGAGTCTTAACCATATTACTGAAACATTCAGGGCTCCAGACTAACATCTGAAAGCAGTGGCTCCAGCGCCACTAAATTCTACAGATGGTGGCGCCAGAAACATATTTGGTAGCGTTGGGGGGTGGTCTGTGGGGGTAAAATAAAGAAAAATAAAGAAAATTTAATCATAAAATTACTATTGTTTTGCAATAATAAATGCAGTTATTATTTATATTTTACGTAATAAAACACGTTTATTTCTCTGTTATACACATTTGACAGTAAAGCACTGACCTTGAGTTGGGAAGCATGTTTACTTTCATTAACAACAGTAACATGTGCAAAATCAAATTTTTTTATGGAAAATTTATATATTCCACTCTTATTAAATGTATCATTATTCTTCCATATTATCATACTGAACTGACCGACAACTTCAGTGATTATAAACGGAGCACCCTTTACTTGCTTTATGTGTGATTCAGTCGCAAATTGAAGAAAAGTTTGTTTTTCAAGGCACTTTGTGACTTTTCTTTCTTCATACTCAAAAAAGTGCAAAACTTTGACAAAATTTGATTTCTTGATAATTTGATATTTTACAATGGTGATTTTATAATCTCAAAATATAAAGCAAAAAAGTAGAAATGAATGACTAATATGCCGTCTACTGGTTAAAGTGGTAATTTGATGTCTGTTTTGAATTTTACTAAGCTTTTGTTCACCACAAAGTAAATTTTGGTCATCCCATTAAAAATAAAATTTACAGTGGGTATAGAAAAGAATCACCCCCTTTATTGTTCAACAGGTGTTACCATATCCTTTTATTTATAGTTCCTGTGGTTTACAACCCTGAAAAGAATAATGTAATAACATTCTACGTTGTCTGCCACAACATCATGGTTATAGTTTTTCTTACTATTTCTGGTTTTCTACATCAGCGCTGTTTGATCTGCTGAGAATTCTGTGAAGAATTCGAATGCTTTTCACTAGATCTCGCAGCAACCTTATTCATTCTGCGGCGAATTCAAATGCTTCTCAATAGATCTCGCAGCTCTGTGCAGTAACAGTGTCATGAGATCAACACTGGTTCCCGAGTAAACCTGTTCTGAGCTTTGATGCGAGCTGATAAACGGTCTGCGCTGCGACCATTTGGTTGCAGTTTGGAGCCCTGATATTCCTTATTTTCCTACAACAAACCTGAGTTGGGTTGGGAGGGATGTAAACCAGTGCCTGCGGGACCTTGCAGGGTTTGAGCTCCCTGGATCTGTTGAGGCATCTGAGGAGGTTGGCTGGTGCTGGGGCTCAGGACAGCTGTGAAGAGATCCTCCACATCCTTCCCACCAAGCTCTGCAAGGAATGGGTCAATACTTACAATCGAATGAACACGTTCACTGGCAGTTGCTGCTTTGAGTTTATAACCTACCTGGCATTTTGTAGAGTTTGCTGAGAATTGATTCTGTAAGGCAAAAAGATTCGCTGTTTACATTTAGATGTTTAAGTAACAAGTATTACTATTCAACAATGCATACATTTGTTATACAGACCATCAGTGACCATCTTGTCCAGTTCGGGGCTGAGGATGCCATCCAGTGGCTCCTCGGGCACCTGATGTGGGTGAGTTCGGCCTAGATGAGTTTGAGATGAAACAGATGCATCTTCTGTTAAATGAGCAATGTCCAGACCTATACAAACACATATACAAAAGCACACAAATAATGTCATGTCTATCTCGACAAACTAAAATGACAAACCACCGGACCCTGGTGTCCTGAAGTTGGGTTAGTCATAGTTGATCTTAAAAAACTGAAGGAACAGCTCACCTAAAAATACAAAATGTTCTTTTATTCACCCTCATAAAGTTTCATATCTGTATAACTCTGTTTAATTTGTCGAACATATGCAAAAAATAACTTTTGCCTCAATAAACTCCTATTTTGTTGATTATTAATAGTTAGTATGCTAGTTGTTAAGTTTAGGTATGGGGTAGGATTAAGGGATCTAAAATATGGTCATGCAGCCATATTTTACAAACCAAGCTGACTTCACAGAAGTGGCAACGAAAGCCGACAGTTCGTCGCTTTGTGTCGGCTGCGTCTGGACCGAAAAGCTGCGCTTGATCACACCGCACAGACTACATCCGACTGCAAACTAGTATGTGCGTTCTGTGCACGCGTGTAAGGAATTAACTGTCTATATCAACAGGTATCAATAGTATCACGCGTAGCGTGAGTTCTGGCAAGTCACGATAGTAAAGCTTGCATCAGCTGACTCTCAGCTGATCCACGTCTACCTATAGGCATACGATGCCTATCACTACTTCCTCATATAAGGTCCATTCAGTATTATTCAGCAGCTTATCGCTTTGCTCAGGAGCTAATTACCCTCCTCCATCCCCAACTCCTCCTCTTGTCCACAGTCAGGACTTGGCAATCGATATTCCTCGTTGAGTCAGACTCTTTATCCTGAATCATATTGTTACATTAAATTGTCACTCTGCTACATTAATGTTGGTTCTGTTCTGTTTATCCCAGGGGGTTATAACTGCTCTCCCTGCTCCTATCCATCCGGCGGTCAGCTTGGTGTGTCCAGACCTTTATAAGTACTCATAAACATCCAATATGCTAGTAATATGCATGCTAATAAGGCAACTAGTTATTAGTGAGAATTGGTCCCTAAACTAAAGTGTTACTAAAAACATTCTTCAAAATATTTTTTGTGTTCAATATAAGGAAGTCATACAGATTTGGAATAACATGAGGGTAAATAATGATAGAATTTTCATTTTTGGGTGAACTATCTTTTTAACATAATTAAAACTAATAAGCAAAACCAGACCAGAGCAGGTTGTGATTACCTGAGTCATATCTGACACAAACGAAACTGAATAAACAACTTGTGCTGCAAAAATAATTCAAATAGAAATACTACTGTGGGCTCTGAGGGAGGTCAGACCGCCTCGTCCTCCAAGGCTGTTTTTACAACAGGGATGAGAGCTCGACATCTTTCACAAATTGCTAGGTTGGTTTCTTTTCATCAAACCAAGGACTCAGTGGATCTTGGTGGAACAGTGTCCCTATTCTTCACTCATCCATTCAGGCAGAGGCCCTGACTGCCGCTCACAGGAGGAAGGCCATTCATCATTGCCTTCGTTTTTCTGAAATGCCTGTCTCTAGAACACCTTGATCACACCTGTTAGTCCAGCACTGCACTGCTGCATCATTCTGAATCTGTTAGGTAATGTAAATGCTTCTGATAGCTGTGCGTTCTGGGATGTTTTACTTGGTGAAACTAAATAGACTGCATGATACATAATGGTTAGATTCAGGTGCAGTGCACATTGTGGGTGATATGTCAACAATAGAAAAAGTAAAACAAATGTTCCCATAAAACCCAAGCAAAGGGGTGCCAAGAGAATAGAAGTAAAAGTAAATAACTTAAAATATGACCATGAGCTCTTACCAAATGGTGAAGGAGAGTACTCAACTTGGAAAGGGCAAAAATCAAGACCTACAAAGATCCAAACCAAACACAATGAGGGATCAGCACCATGAAGAGAGAAAGAAAAATTCTGCAGATGATTCATACACAATGTCAAATAAAATGAGCTAAGAACGAAAAATGGAAATGCCAAGAAAATGAACATAATGACAAGACAATAAAGACCATCTCTTACAGATAATTAAATATTTAGATATTAAACTATTGATTATTTATCTATTTTCAAGCAAAGCTAATAAATATGCGTAATTATTGGGTGTAGAAATGTGTGTGTGTGTGTGTGTGATAAAAGAAAAAGAAAAAAAGAATTAACCGTGCGGATTTAAATAACTGCATGTGTTAACGTGCTACATTTGAAAGCCCTACTGAAATTATTGAATTTTAGGTTTTATTTGAACATTCTTTGATAGGAATACATTAAATCTATCATCTAAGCACAAGCCTTTATATAAAAAGATTTTAAGATTATGAGAAACTAATTCAGCCAAGTGTATCTACATTTATGACTGGTAACGTAGTTAAAAACTACACTAAGAAAAAGCGACTTTAAAAAAAAAAAAAAAGGGAATCCTTATTGTAGTTTAACTATGTTTGTACCTCATGAAGTTCGTGTTTCAAAGCAGATTCTTCAACAATGATAATAGTAGACCTAGAGAGCTGGAGCCCACTGAAACAGCAAACACGTGCTGTTATTTCTCATGTTTAGAGACACTCATAAAGGCCTACCGGACTCCTCTGTTTGCTTGTTATCTGAAAACATTCCCAGCAGCTCTGTGTCTGATTTCAGCTCTTCGGACAGGTCCACTAGAGGCTCCACAGAGTTCTCTGTGGATGTGGATAAAGCAGGGAAGTGATTATAAGGGTCTAATGACTGTACTCTAAGAAAGTGGTCTAAATTGTGGTCAAATTTAAAGACAACATGAAATTGCATTCACAATCCATTTTTTTTTTCCCATAAGGGGACATTTTTGGGTGACTCTGCTGGCACCCGCTCTCCATAATAAGACCAGGAATGTGTGTAAAGTAAGTAAATTTTAATTTCATGGTGACTTTAAGGGAACTAAATGTATAAATCAGACTGGGTATGAATATCATATGAAAAAAAGACAAGAACATAAACAGAAGGCTGAGACAGGCCGTGTGTGTGTGTGTGTGTGTGTGTGAGCACCAGTAGCTGTGAGAAACGTACGTGCTGCTACTGATTTACTGGGCAGCAGTGCCACGGATGCACTGAGTGATGCGTTCGACAGTGGCTTCATCTGATTGGCCGAGAGCTGTTTCCTGTCTCGCTCATCCTCTAGTAGCCGTGTGGTTTCCTGTCTGCTCTGTTTGCTCTTATCCAGCAGGTCTTTCCCAAAAAAGGCCTCCTGCAAGAGAAGATTGTGGAGTCAGAGTACTTCAGAATTCAGTATAAAATATGTGACTGATTTGTCCATCTAGTAAAAGTTGATGTAGGTTTTAGAAAATTACTGGTTTCATATAGCAAGCATTAACCATACAATAAAAGATTTTCAATGGTGGATGGTGATGGAAATATTTAGAGAGTAGGGTGGCGCATGGCTAATAAAATGCAGATACTGCATATAATGCAATTTAATGATAGCAAAACATGTAGAATGTAAAGAAACATTTATATTACAGAATATCTGAAAATGAAACATGTTCATTACCCATGACCCACTTCTGTTAATCAACCAAGTGGACACAGATTATTTGAAGATGGCTATTTGAAGATTAGCCAATTTATCGGCCCGTGTTTCCATATTTTTCACAACATTTCCTCTCAATTAATTTGAGACTGTTTCATGTGAACTGTTTTGACAAGATCAAACATCACTATGGGTTAAATTGCATCTTACTGTACACAAAAAGCAATATTTAAATGGTAATATTGATTCTGCTACAGTTAATTCGAAGATCTAATCTAAATATTTATTATTAATCATAACCAGTTATAATTAGTCATAAATATTTCCCTTTTGAGCTGATTTACTACAATATATATATATAAAAATGCAAATCACACACACATCACTCCTACCAAAGACAACAGTAGTGCACTCTGGGTGATCATGACATTCAAAGCAAAACTTCTGAAGAGGCGTACTCAAATCACATTGTGCTGTTATCACTCATAATGAAAGTATTGTTGATAGAGTATCTTTTCTGGGTACAATGGAGCCCTTCCAGATGGCTGTGTGTTTGTCTGGCAGTGAGGCTTTGCCTCTCAGATGGCGTTACTCTGCACTGACTGTAACGTTGTGGGAGCCCCTCAAATGAGCTCATGTTTCATCTCGTCTTGTACCGCTCCAGCGCGGCCCCACAGGACGCATGACCTACGGAGACACACGCCGCTGCACGTGCGCACAGCAATCACAGGAAGAAGCAAGAAAACAACATACGTGCTGTAGCGGCCGTAATACGACTTCCCAGCACACCGCCTGTTCTGTCAATTCAGTTCAGCTCACCTGACAGCTTCCAGCTCTAGGAACCTGCCTGGCTGAGACACTAAAAGCCTTCATTTTCAATAATTGATTTGAAGTGGCTCTTCTGAGAAGCACCTTTAGGGTGGATTCTCTCAGTGTTGACGCAGGAGCTAGCGTGAACAGCTAGCATTAGCTCAACCAACCAATTATGTCATTCCCATCCCATTCATTCTTCCTTTCTAGGGCTGGGTGATATGATGATAATACAACATCAGTGTGCAGGACTGCTATATGCTATTTACACGTGAGGGTGATACAGAATCATGTAGAGTAATATGAAAATACAGTGGGAAGTGGAATGTGTCTCAAATAAGTCAATATTAAAGGTTGTTAAGTACAGCGCCAGATTTGTTGTTTTTACAGTACTGCATTAATAGAGAATTCTGATGTGTGAATATCGGCTAGAATTTAGAGTCTGAATTATTTGTTTTATAATAGTAGTTTACTGATTTTAATTAAAAAAAATTTTTATTTTTTTTATTTAGTATATAACAATGGAAAATCCAAATATTTTGAAATATTATTATAATTTGAAATAACGGTTTTCTATTGTAATACATTTTACATTTTAATTTATTTTGTGATGACAAAGCTGAATTTTACGGAAGAGGATTAGGGCCAAGCAATAATAAGAAAATAAAACCATCTCGAGATTGAAGTCATTAAATTTCAAGAAAAAAGTCGAGATAAAATGTTGAGATTAAACTCATTACATTTCGAGAATTAAGTCATTATGTTTCAAGAAAAAAATCCTTAAATTTAGAGAAAAAAAGTCGAAATCAAATGTTGAGAATAAACATTAAATTTCGAGAAAAAAGTCGTTAAATTGTGAGAAAAAAGTCGAGAATAAAGTTTATTCTCAACATTTTATTTCGACTTTTTTCTTGAAATTGAACGAGTTTTTTTCTCGAAATTTTACTATTTTTTTCTCGTAATTTAATGAGTTTATTCTCAACATTTTATCTCGACTTTTTTTCTCGCAATTTAACAAGCTTTTTCTTGTAATTTAATGAGTTTATTCTCAACATTTTGTTTCGACTTTTTTTCTCGAAATTTAACGAGTTTTTTCTCGAAACGACTTAATTCTCAAAATTTAACGACTTTAATCTCGAGATGGTTTTATTTTTTTATTATTGCTTGGCCCTAATCCTCTTCCGTAGAATTTTAAGCATCATTACTCCAGTCTTCAGTGTCACTTGATCCTTCAGAAACCATCTATCTATCTATCTATCTATCTATCTATCTCTGATCTACAGCTTTTGAAAGGTAAATTGTAGGGCTGAGTTTTGACACAAATTTCACGATTCGATTCGATTCTCATTCACAAGCTTGCGAATCGATTCAATATCGATTATTTTGGATATATATCAGGTACAGTACTTGGTTACGTGACATTGTTTACAAGCCGTTATATTGACGTCTTTGCACGGCTGAAACACTGATTGAGTGACTGATTTAGTCATGTTTATTTTGTGCTGAAACTGGTATTAATGTGGAGGAGATGATCAGTTCACGTGAGCCTCGTGCTGCCGCGTCTACAGCGATCTGTCACTCCACATTAAACAGCGCCAAAAACGGCATTTATTGTTTGAATACTGCAATACAATGGACCGAATTTGAAATCTGAGACTTTGTTTCATATTAAAAGTACCAAAGCACAATGCTTATTGCGATATATTGGATGGGAAGTGCCCTTCAACGTTCCGTCCATTAACTGAAAACAGGCTAGAATAATCGATTCTTGGGATTTAAGAATCGATATCGTTCCGTAAAAATGAGAATCGATTAATATCGAGATATCGATATTTTTTACCCAGCCCTAGTAAATTGTAATTTAGCAGGATTTTCTCAAAATATGCTTTCCACACGTTTACGTAATTTATGCGTACATTTTCTGTTATATTTTCAGCAAAAAACAAACAAACTGTATTTTCATATAAAGAGCATCTGCTGAAAAGTTGATACTGATTCCAGAGAACTGCAGCTTAGAAATATCGGTATCGGTATCGGCAAGTACCAAAAATAAAAGTATCGGTATCGGGCGAGTACTGGAAAAAGTGGTATCGGTGCATCCCTATTAGAAATGATCTCATATTGTGTGGCTTGTTTTGCAGAGATCTGCTATAGCTTTTCCAAGAGAATGTGACTTATGATATTTGCCTGGTAGATGAAAAACCTCACAAACTTGCATTGAAGGACCCGAGCCATATCTAGACACCAAATATCACAGAGAATTTGAGCCAGCAACCACCAAAAACAACCTCGCAAAAACTAAGCAATGACCTGGGAACCACCCAGTACACCTCAATAAAGTGATGGTATATCTTGCACAGACAAACACCACTCATATTGTCTTTAAAATCGAGTTAATCTATTATATTTTAAAAGTTGACCTGTAGGTAAGCAGGGAAAGCCTCCTCCAGTTTGGTCTTCTTTTTCCTGTAGCGTTTCCGTATTTTAACCTCAGGGTTGTCGGGAAAATCAGACAAAGGAGGTTTTTCATCGATTGGAGTGTCAGGCGCTTGGTCACCCCAGCCTGTCAGGACAGAAAAGAGTAACCCTATTCATTATTTACATTACATTCAAATCTTATGTAATTCAAAAATAACATCCGTAAATACATACATTAATACATACGTATGTACATAATACATTTTTAATGTATTTTTCAAAATGCATTCATGTAGATATTATTCAATAGATCAGTCTACATTAGGGGTGTCAAATACATGTGATCGGGATGAGCCCAATCCAGCTTTATGCACTTCTGCAGTGGTTGTGGACATTTCGCAGCAGTTGATCCACTCAAACAGATATTAAAAAAATAATAAAGACAGAAGATATTGATTTAGGATCTAACATAAGCTACCAGCAAGTCATCGTACTGAAAGTGTTGAATGATACTCACTCTCATCTTTGCCTTGCAGGGTCTCAGAGCCAGTGGAGTCCTTCCTGAACAAGGCCTGTTTGGTTCTGCCCAGACCTGTCCGGTTCCTCTGTCTGACCATGAATCCTCCAATACCTGAATAAAAGCAGAAACTTCAACATATTTTTGTTCAATAATATTTTTTCTTTTTCATTTAGTATTCTGAGAGAATTTTATGGCACCAATTCATATTTATGCAATAATTATGATCCATTTTCCCCCCCCTGAAAATACAGAAATTCTTTTTTTTTTTTTTTTTTTTCCTAAAAAATTATTTTTCAATTAATGCAGCATTTCAGGTTAAAAATGAGACTAGCTGTGCACTTTTTTTCTGCATTATGGCTGATTTGTAGATTATGCATGCAAATGTTTTTCGTATATTCCCATTTATTTCCTATGGTGGTCATTTTTGACTGTGAAGACTTTTTTTTTTATAGCCTTTTCTAATCATGCCCTCATTTTTTTTTTGTGTAGTATCACATAACAAATGCCATAAAAGTCACCAAGTTTTGTACCATTCCGATGAAGCTATGTTTTTTTTAATTTCAAAATCTAAAATTTTCCGTCAAAAGTGACCAAAGAGGCCCAGAGGGCGTAAATAAGAAAGCTCTTTTGCCAAATTATAATGTCAACCTTTGTTTCATGACCATTTTCCATGCATTAGCTAACTTAGATATCAAATATCACAGATTTTATTTATTTTTTTGTATCCGAGCAGTCATTCATATCTACAAGATGTTTGGATGTTTTGGAATAGACAATGTACAATTAATAACATCTGATACAGTGGCAAAGAAAAAAATATAATTTTATTTAAACAAAAATGACTAATTTAAAAAATAAACTTGATTTAATTTATTATTAGATTAATAACCAAAACAAGAGAATCGCTGTGCCTTCTACTCTATTCCTTTTTCTAATCATGCATAATTGCCATGTATAAAGTACAATCATGCATGAACATACAACTTCCAGCAGACCTGAAAAAGACAAATACTGTAACGAGGAAATCACTTGTGCAAATGAAAACGTGTTTGGTTAGACTCCACTGAAGCATCTTGTCTCTCACCAGGGCGGTAGGGCTTCCTCTTCCTCTTCTTGCAGGGATCTGTGTCTTTAGAGTCATCTTCTGCTGCGGCTTCTCTCTCCGGACTGGAGTCTGACTTTCCCTCACCGTCCACAATCTCCCCTTCTGCTGCAAAACACACACACACACAAAGCTGTCAGGGATCACACAGGTTAACAAACCCAGACTATAGGAAGAGAACTGTAAAACGAGACACTTTAAAACTCTGTCTTCCACAATAGATTCAGTCCATTTGTGCTAAAAATAACATTTCGAATCACTATAATGAGCTGCCTACCTAGTTTTATGGCACACATAATGTGAAGGCTGTTTTAAATTGTAGGTAAAGATTATGCTGTCTTCTACAATACCTAATTCTCAAAAGAATCGGAGGCACAATCGCATGAATTGCCATAATGCTTTGCCATGAGCTCACCAAAAATTTCCCAGCCAAGACAGCCGACAGAAATGAAGGAAATACTGACTAGAAATCATATAAAGTGTCCATGGACCTTTTTTAAACAACATCTTCAATGACATAGGTCAGGGGTTCCCAAACATTCCTGTCAGCCGAATTGCTTAGACGTAAAATATTCAAATATTCACAAGTACCTCCTGAGATTTTAAGCTAATATTTCAATGATTTAACAACACATTCTCATGTTTGTGGTACTCTGATGTTGGTTAATGGTCACATGACATGCAAGTGAACAGATAAAATATTATAAAATCTATTTTTTATTGTTTAATTATTTATATATAGGGCTTATTATTATTTAAGAATTATTATTATTATTAATTGTAATTATAAAAATTAAGATAAATATATTACTCTTGTAAATTATATTAAATTCAATTCAAATGTATTTGTATAGCGATTTTCACAATACACATTGTTTCAAAGCAGCTTTACAGAAAATGTATGTGTCTACATTACAATTTAGAATGATCTGTTATCAGAAGTGAATGTGTCCAAGTAATGTGCATTTCACAAATGAACACTTCAAGGTAATAGAATCATACAGTTAGCTAACATGAAATTAATTTCAGACAGAAGCTCATTAAAGCGATTATTACAAGTGTGATCATAATGATTACAGTATAGAGAAAATTTGGCAGCTGTGCATATAGATTCAAGTTGCCCTGTAAAAAAAAAAAAAATAAAAAAGAATATTTGATAATTATTGGTCTAATAATTATGTTATTTTTAGTGCTGTTAAACGATTAATCGCGATTAATCGCATCCCAAATAAAAGTTTTTATTTACATAATATATGTGTGTACTGTGTATATTTACAATGTATATATAAACAAAAACTTTTATTTTGGATGCGATGAATCGCGATGAATCGTTTGACAGCACTAGTTATTTTACATTGCAAGTAACAATTCTAATATTTATATCTCAAATTCTTCACTTTCAAATGTTCAAGTCATCAAACTTGTATTCTGGTAAAATATTGGTACAATGCGATAAATTTGGAAATGGTGCAAAATGTGTAAATAAAGTGAACACTGCATTCTCATTTACTATCAAAAAGCAGTAATTAGGTGTTTATTACGGGAAAACTCTAAGTTACTAGTGAATATGTGTTCCCCAATCTAAATCTTACCCTACGTATTTAATTAAAGTTCAGCCTTTGATTGAAAATCGCATTAAGCCATATGGTGAATTCAGTTTTATTTTGATTAACTGTGCAACCACATTTATTTGTTTTAATTATTAGTGTTCCATCAACACCTGCAGTTTCCTCACAAACCCCCATTTGGCGTAGGTTTAATGATCTTAATTTGGTTTTTGTTTGGTAAAGTTGTTAACCTTCCAAATTGCATCTCTTTTACTTTACTCTTTGTACACGGATATGAAACTACTGCTCAAAGAAGTACGGTTGTGATGTAGGAAGCAGTACTTTTGGTGTCGTCGAGGTTTCCGTCTCTGGAGAGTTCAGTCGGTGGGTCTGGAGGCGGCTGCAGCACGGCCACACTGTTCTGGTTTATGATCTTCAGCTTGAGTTTGGGTTTGGAGCGTCTCCGCCGCGAGGCTGCATTGGCGAGACTCTGGAGCTGGGACAGACCAGACTCTGTGAGACAAACACCGTCCTGGGTGTATGTCCTCGTCAGCTCTGTGGAGCAGAAACACAGAGGAACCTCATTGGAAACATGAAGAACCAAAGGACATTACTATGGTTTATGAGCAAGTTTTACTATACAAAGAAAAACATGTATCTTCAATATCAAAGCATAACCAGAATTCAATATAGAGATTTCAGCAACACTTTACAATAAGGTTTAAAAGTTTTTATTTACATAATATATGTGTGTACTGTGTATATTTACAATGTATATATAAACAAAAACTTTTATTTTGGATGCGATGAATCGCGATGAATCGTTTGACAGCACTAGTTATTTTACATTGCAAGTAACAATTCTAATATTTATATCTCAAATTCTTCACTTTCAAATGTTCAAGTCATCAAACTTGTATTCTGGTAAAATATTGGTACAATGCGATAAATTTGGAAATGGTGCAAAATGTGTAAATAAAGTGAACACTGCATTCTCATTTACTATCAAAAAGCAGTAATTAGGTGTTTATTACGGGAAAACTCTAAGTTACTAGTGAATATGTGTTCCCCAATCTAAATCTTACCCTACGTATTTAATTAAAGTTCAGCCTTTGATTGAAAATCGCATTAAGCCATATGGTGAATTCAGTTTTATTTTGATTAACTGTGCAACCACATTTATTTGTTTTAATTATTAGTGTTCCATCAACACCTGCAGTTTCCTCACAAACCCCCATTTGGCGTAGGTTTAATGATCTTAATTTGGTTTTTGTTTGGTAAAGTTGTTAACCTTCCAAATTGCATCTCTTTTACTTTACTCTTTGTACACGGATATGAAACTACTGCTCAAAGAAGTACGGTTGTGATGTAGGAAGCAGTACTTTTGGTGTCGTCGAGGTTTCCGTCTCTGGAGAGTTCAGTCGGTGGGTCTGGAGGCGGCTGCAGCACGGCCACACTGTTCTGGTTTATGATCTTCAGCTTGAGTTTGGGTTTGGAGCGTCTCCGCCGCGAGGCTGCATTGGCGAGACTCTGGAGCTGGGACAGACCAGACTCTGTGAGACAAACACACAGCTGACACAGAATAGCATACGTTGTTTACGTTCAGTGGATATTCTCCAAAATGGCACCAGGAATACAGACGAATTGTTGAATAAAGTCATTATTTTTTTCTATTGCGCACAAAAAGTATTCTCGTAGCTTTGTAAAATTACGGTTGAACCCCTGATGTCACATGGATTATTTTACCGATCTCCTTGCTACGTTTCTGAACTTTGATCGTGGTAATTACATTGCTGTCTATGGGAGGGTCAGAGAGCTCTCAGAATTCATCAAAAATATCTTAATTTGTGTTATTAGTGCTGCGCGGATGAGCTAAAACGTCACCCGAATCCGCAGCTTCAAATAAATTATCCACCCGCCAACCGCCCGCACCTGTATTTTTGTCTGATTTAGATAACCGCACCCGACCCGCACCCGATCATCACATTAGGGTTCGTACGGTCAAGAAAAACCTGGAAAAGTCATTGAACAGCAATTTCCAACATCCCCGTTGGGCAAAGGGTCGAAATGATCACTCGGTTGTGCTTCGTGAACACTCGCGCCTTACACGGCGGCACTATTGCGCTGCAAAGATGTACCGGGAGACGTGCGATTATTAGACGACCGATCGTCATTTCCAAAAGGCAAATATTCCCCTTCAGAGTCAGAATCGGCGAATAACATTTGCAAAACATCCTCACGGTACAACTTTTTATTAGCCATTTGGCGATTTTCTCTCACAAATCTCACAGCATACCCGCACGCTATGAACTGAACAGCTTCCGCATCAATGACACGAAAGCTCACTTGCTCTGCTATTTCCTCGAACACTTTGAATAGGAAGGTGACGTAATTTTGGTCTAGAATCGAAGTACTACATGTCTGCCATCTAGTGGTAGGGAATACAAATGAGATATTACACCATATTAGGAACTACAGTCTATTTGATTAAGTATGACCTCTTGTCGCAATTTTGCGACTTTGGCGCTAAGAGGGTTAACAGACACAACTTGAACTTGATTTTAATAATGTATATAAATGTTGAAAATTAACAATAACTAAGATTAACAAATGCATTAGAAGTATTTTTTATTGTTAGTTCACATTAAGTAATGTAGTTCATTATTGTGTTACCAAAACTTCTTTAAATGACTATAATTTGACACCTTTATAAATATGTAAAAAAAATTTTAAAAAAATTGTAATGTTTTAGTAAAGAGACATCATTACCAGGATCTCTTGTTTTTGTGACTCTCTGAGGCATGAAAACAGACTCGACTAAATCCAAGCAAGACTTGGCCGGCGTTCCAGGCGCTGTGTAATGAACACACAAATACACAATATCAACCAAAAAAAAAAGATTTATAAACATAAACCAGGCTTGATTGTGCTAAAGCTTTGTTTACCGGGAGAGAGTGGGGTATGGCCTTGGCACAGACTGCAGTCAAAGCTGGTGTCTGCAATCTTCTCCACCTCCTCCTCTGAGAGGATTCCCTGACACGAGGCATGAATCCACCTGCAGACACAGCAGAAACAGCACGTTTGTACGACAGATTAGAACGATAACTCAAACTGTGCCACGTATTGAGGAGAGGCATGAGAGACTTTTCTGTTTCATCATCTTCTACTTTTGAACTTGCAACTTGCAACTGTAGTTGACAAAAAACAGGTAAACATATTAGTTAAATAAATGGATTGAAATATCATTGGAGGTGGGAACCATAACACCCTAGTAGTAACCACCAAGAACATACTAGCAACTGCATATCAACATGCTAAAAAAATAGACATCAATCAATATTTTTTATTTGGAGACATGATTATGACTATTGTCGTTCAGATTTTTTTTATTTTTATTAATTCTCAGATAACTGATATGCAGAAAATATTTCAAATTATTGTTTAATTTCACATTTCTATTTAGTAATAAATAATCACTTATAAAATAAAATGTAAAAAATAATGAAATATATTTAAAATAAATAAATAGTTTATTTTTAGTTGTAGTAGAAGAATACATTTATACAATATTGGAGTTATGAATGATTAGCAGAACTTATTAGTAGACCTCTAAATAACTAATATTGTTTGGCAAAATTTTGGAGTTGTTTTGGGGATTTTATATTTTTTTTATGTTGTTTTTGAGAGATATCTATTATGCTCACTGAGGCTGCATTTATTTGATAATAATACAGTAAAACAGTAATAATGAAAAATATTATTATTGTTCAAAATAACTATTTCTATTTTAATCTATTTTTAAGGAATAAAAGAATCAATTTTATTCCTGTGATGGTAAAGCTGAATTTTCAGCATCATTGATCCAGTCTTCAGTGTCACATGATTCTTCAGAAATCAGTCTAATATGCTGATTTGCTGATCAAGAAACATTTATTATTATTAGAAATGTTGAAAACAGTTGTGCTGCTTCATATATTTGCGGAAACTGTGATAACTCAAGATTTTGTGATGAATAGAAAGTTTAGAATTTTCCAAATATCAAAATAGAATTTTTAAAAACATTATAAATGTCTTTACTGTCAGTTTTGATCAATTGCTGAATCCTTGCTGAATAAAAGTACACACACACACACACACCAAAAGCTTCAAATCTATAGTAAACCCCTAGAATCCACTATCTGAACAGCTTATCAAATATATTTCACATATATTGTTTTGCACCAGTGTTAATTTCGTTGACAAATAATTTTCATCAACGACATCTTTTCACCGACGACAACGAGACGATAACGAACTAAAACTCTTTTTGAATGACAAAAACTATGATGTAAATCTATTGACATTTTCGTCAATGAATAAAAACGAGACGAAAATGTTAGGGAGGGACGATTTGGGAAGAGATTAATTCAGAACGAATCTGCTGCGTGGTTTGGAGGTTAGATGTGTACATATGAACCGGCGGGACATAAGCTAACA